TCCTGGCTTAGTGCTAGAGAATTATGGGAGTGGTATTTTTTTCTGAGAGACTGAGCCTTCTCTGTCAGAGAGCTCTTGTGCCATAATAAACTACAGTTCCCATGATTCCCTAGCACTGAGCCAAGGCAGTTAAAGTGGACTCAAGTTGCATTATTTCTGGCAGTCTGTAAAGGCTGAAACTCACCCCCAGTACTGCTATGTTCATGCGTGACATTTCCTTTTCACTATGTCTAGCTTCCCTTGGCTCATGCTTCTCACATTCTATGTCCCTGTTTTATGTGTGGTGCTGCTTCTGATGAGATTTGTCTTTCTGAGAGTGTTTACTGCTTGCTTCGTCATTTTGACTGCCCTTAGCTGCTCTTGCAAGTGTGTTTTCCTTTAGCTTCTATCTATCTCTCTGTTAGTTTGTTGGGAAGCCAAGACCTAATTTTGGGGAATTTATAATTAGCTCAAATGAGAGGGAAGCACCGAACTTCGCTTCTAAGATCTTATCTAATTGTCTATGGGAGATATAAGAGTTTTTGACTAGGAAAGACACTGAAACGGACCAAGCTCCAATTAAAGTCTAAAGTATTTATTTGGCAACAATAAGCAAACATCCAAATGCAGTGCCTATCTCAGAGTACAGACCGACAGAGTTTCAGCATGCACTTCCAAGATAGCACGAGGTCTGCTAAAATCCAGGGGGTTTTAAGGGCGATTTCTGCCTTCCAGCCATGGGCTGGACAATAGCTAGACAAAGGCATGATGGGCTTTTCATTGTTTACTTAAGTCTGGGCATAGTCTAAACAATGCATGTGGTATCAAAGGAATCAAGGAAAGGAAGCTAGAGAAAGGAGGTGCCATCAAATCTAATCATAGAATCATAGAATCATAGAATCATAGAATCATAGAGTTGGAAGAGACCACAAGGGCCATCCAGTCCAACCCCCTGCCATGCAGGAACTCCCAATCAAAGCATCCCCGACAGAAGCATCCAGCCGCTGCTTAAAGACCTCCAAGGAAGAAGACTCCACTACTCTCCGAGGGAGCGTGTTCCACTGTCGAACAGCCCTTACTGTCAGGAAGTTCCTCCTAATGTTGAGGTGGAATCTCTTTTCTTGCAGCTTGCATCCATTGTTTCTGGTCCTAGTCTCTGGAGCAGCAGAAAACAAGCTAGCACCCTCCTCAATATGACATCCCTTCAAATATTTAAACACAGCTATCTGTCTCATCAAGTGTGAGACTGAGACAAACAAACACTATTAGGTATGTTTTCCAACATAATGAGATATTCCCAAGGGAAACTCCCAAAATCTGCCTGTCCAGGAAATCTTTAGTGGTCTTAAGCAATTTTTAGCTTGCTTACCTGACCTCACATCTAGGGGATTATGGCTGCCATCTCCCAAGGGCCAGGCTGGGGTCATAGGGAAATCTACATGGTTAAAATATATAATAAAAATGGAGGACATCTGCTAAGAAGTGCTCTTGTCTTGCCTGTGTGACCCTTTCGATTTCTCTTCATAGGGTTTTCTAGGTGGGGGGGTTACACAAGGAGGATTACCTACACCTCCCTGTGCACAATGCTGTTCTTCATTTTAGTGACACCCACCACCACTGTTGCTGCCCAGTAGTTGCTTCCCTATGTTATTGTCTCTCCCTCCTTTATTGTTGAATTGATCGTTTCCTTCTCCTTCTCCTCCCTCCTCCCTCCTTTTCCCTTCCCCCCTTTCCCTTCCCCCTCTCATGTCCTTCTTTATTTTAGGGGGGAAGCAGATGGGCGGCCATGGGCCACCCCAGGAAGCTGCGCCGTGGGACCGAGGCAGCCCCATGCCTTGGTCCTGCAGCGCAGCTTCACCGCCCCTGAAAGGAGCACTAAATTGGTGCTCCTTTCACAAGTCGACAAAGGTGCACCGCAAAAGGCTGTGGCGCACCTTCGGTGACTCTTCCGCCGCAGCGCATGCAAATGCTGCGGTGGGAGGTCCTCCTTGGAGCACCGGCCGTGCGGAGGGCCGGCTGCTCCGAGGACGACCTGGGGAAGGGGTTGGGGCGCCAATCGTGCTGCTGCCCCTCCCCTTCCCTGCCCCCAAGACGGCCCAATTAGCCATCTGCTTAGCCCCGTAGTCTCTGGCCCCTGTCTTCTGGCCCCTGTTTGGTTTTCCTTGCCCATCCTCTCTTTTTTCTCCTCTCCTTCCTATGTAATTTTTTTAAACGTCAGATATGTTCATGGGAACATATTATTTGGGTGAACTTCTAGCAATCATGAATTACTTCTGAAAATTAACTTCCCAAGCTCTTTCTCCACCCCACCTCATTATGCTGTAAATGAATGTTTAGAATTAGAGGAATAGGCCAGAGTCCATCAATAGCTGTAACCTTTAAGCAGACCTTCCTTGAGCTAGGGAGAAGTTGATCTAGGGAAACACAGAGGTGGCTAGGAAATCCGGTTAGTCCTCTGCAGCAACCTTGGTGTTCTCACACTGCTTCATGCTTATCGCTTCTCCAAATGATAAGAGGTTTCTGGAGCAGCCTTTGCCAGGGATCAGTTGCCTGATGAAACTGCTCTGGGGCTTTTATTGTCTTGCAATATTGATTTTTATTTCCAAGAATATTTATAGACTGAGCAGGTAGAAATACACATGAAGCCAGCCAGTCAGGGAATCAGTTCCTTAATGTGTAATACTATTCAACTGCCACTTGACTCTGTTTCCAGCCAGCTGCTAAAGCTCAGGCTTCTGTCTCCTATCTTCAAATTGCCAAACAGTTTTTATCACAACCAAGCCACTCAAACAGGAGAGGAGATGTCTAGTGTGTGGTAGAAT